TTCAATGTATGTGTGTTTGTTCGTAATATTTATCGATTGATTTTTTATTCCATTTTTTTATATTCTTTCTTTCTTCGTTTCTCAATGATGATGATCATCATCATCATCATCGGAAATGGCAAATGGATGTGTGTGTGTGGTGAGGGTTGGCTTTTGGTTGCTGATGACTACTATAGAAGCGGAAAAAAAAATACAATAAGTCATATTCGTTGGTGGAAGACGAAAAAAAATTCCAGATTCTTCAACAAGAGAAAAGCTTCAGATTTTTCTTGATTTTCGAATGCCATAAAACATCATCATCATCATCAATGGTGGTGATGGATCTATTTGAAAATGAAAATTTTCAATTTTTTTTGTTTTGTTTTTCTTCTAAAAATCCGTGAATATTGTCGTTGTTGTATTTACTTGCTGACCGCTTGTTGACCAGATGTTTTTATTTCTTTTTATTTTGCTATTCCTCTTGTTTGACTGATAAAAATTCATAAAATGATGATAATGATGTTTTGGCCAACAGAATAGATTTGTTTATGTTTTTGGATTGAAAATCCATTGGTGAAACAAACCATAAGGATCATTGATAAAATTGACCCGAATTTTCTTTTTCTTTTTTTTCACTCAAAGTTGTTGTTGTTGTTGAAAACTTTTTTATTATCAAAAAGTTCCTTGTTGTTGTTGTTGTTGTTGTTCAACGATGGCAACAACAACAACAAATTTTTTTTTTGCTTATCATGGCAGAATTTCTTTCTCTTCTTCTTCTTCTTTCCTTCCTTTCAAGATTCTGGATTCTGGATTCTATTTTTTTTTCGGGCTCTTGATTCTGATGATAGTTTATTCATTTATTCTTGTCAACAAAAAGTAGATTCTGGATGAATTGAGTGGTGGTGCTTCTTTCTTTTATCTTTTAATGGAAATCTATCACCAACAGCAGCAACAACAACAACAACAAAAAAACAAGTGGCCGGCATATCCGACATGGTTTACGAATTTCCACAATGTTTTCGTTTTTTCCCCACATTTTCTATTTCTTCAGGCCACATTTATACTTGATGAATGATCATGAATGATGATCATGAATGATGATCATGAATGATGATCATGAATGATGATGATGATTTTCGCCTAACAATGCAAAAACGAAAACCCAGAAAAAAAACATCATCAGCATCCTCAGTAGCGAAAAATTCATTTATATTACGAGGATAGATGAAACACACACAGTGACAATGACTATCAATGACTATCATCATCAATAGTAATGATTATGATTATTGGTTGATTTTTTATAATGAAAATTATCATTATACATTGATAATTATTATTATTATTATAATGATAAAAAATTTATTATCATTATCAAATAACATTATCAAAAAACATTATGTAATAATTATAATTATAATTATTATTTGTTGGTTACCGAAAATATGAAAAAAAACCCGAAATTTTTGGCTACCAAAAATATGAATGGTATGGAATTTTACATGGGATGCTACATGGAATTGTAACTATTTCTGTCTTTCTTTCGTTATATTTGGTTGTTTGGTTTTGGTTGTTCCACCATCAACAACAACATCATTATCATCATCTGAAGGCCAGACTAATAGAATAATATCATTGACAATCATCATCATCATCAAAGCATCATCAAATTCTATTGTATGGCTGGAATAATCAAGAATTGACAAATTCAAATCTATGTAATAATAATTTTGTTGATGATGATGATGATGAAATGTTACTATTTTCTTTTTTTTCATCATCATCCTCGTCAACAACATTCATTCAAATGTTTATTTCTTTATTTCTTTGTTATGAATGTTTTTATTATTTGCTATACAAATATTTGTTTCTTTTTTTATACAATCATCATGTGTGAATGGTGTGTGTATCTTAGTTAGTTTGATGTTTTTTCTAGTTTATTTCCCGAAAAACAAACAAACAAACATATTATATTACCTTTGGCCTCTTTTCTTTTTTGGGATGGTTTGCATTTACATTATTTTCTTTGGGAAAAAAATTCAAAAATGCCAAGTGTAATTCCTATGGAATTTTGAATCTTCTTGGACGATAATGATCTTGGTCATCTTGGATGTTTTAATGTTTTTTTTCAAATTAAATTTTCATTGTTTTTTGTTTTGGTATTGATTCAGTCTGAAGAAAACTAACTAAACTAGCAAAACTAACTAACTAAATGTTTCATTGAATGATTACAATGTATACCATGATAAAATACCATGATAAAATAGATGTTTCTTTTATTATAGCCGGCAAACAAACAAAATATAAAATGATCTTTGTTTGTTTGTTTATTTGATGTTTAAACACAATTGATTGGCATCCATTAAACTTTTTTCTCTCTGTTTTGTTGTTTGTTCAATGATTCATTTAATTTAATTTTAGTTATTCTCTATAGATGGATTCTATAGATGAATTCTACTGGACAAGTTTTTTTTGGCTCCCTCCATCCCATGTGCATTTATTGATTATTTTTGATTATGATGATGATCCCGAAATTCTTAAATAAAATTCTAAATAAGACTTTTCATTTAATTGTTAGGGTAGAATTTTTTTTAACCCACTACTACCACTACTATTACTAATTTTAGAATTTCGGAATACCACTATCACAAGCTTTATGGTCAATAATGACCAAAATACAAATAGTAACAATAATAATAACAGATAATGTATGACAGTCGTTTTTGTTGTTGAAAAGATAAAACAAAAAATCAAATCATTCAAACTAAATTGTCTTTCCAATGGGCCATTGTGAATCAATTCTTTTGGGTCCATTAAATTAATGAAAAACAAAACAAAACAAAAAAATTTGTCATTGAAAAAAATAAAGTTATTTCAACAACAATAATAGTAATAAGAAAATAGTAAATGACCAATATATTTTGAAAATTGTCAAAAAATTTTTTGGCTGATAAATATGTTGCTATCGCAAATCACAGACCATATTTAAATGGAATATTTTTCTATAAATTTTCAAAATAATAAAAAAAATTTTAATGGACATTCATTAAAAATAATTATTATCAACCAAAATGAAATATATCTTATGTTATGGATAACCAAATAGTAGTAGTAGTAGTCAATGGTAATAGTGAAAAAAATGGTTGTACAATAATAGTCACATTACATAGCCGCATCAAGAGATGATTTTGTTTGTTTAGTGGAATTTTGCACCAAACTTGCACTAAACTCATTAATATGTACTCTTTTTTATAAATCCACCACTTATTTATATGATAGATATTAACCCTAATTATAATTAAAAATGGGCCATTAAAATTTTTTTTCCCATATTTTAATTAGTTTTTTTAATCCTTCGTTTCTTTTATTTTTCCTGGCATGTCAAAAAGAAAAAAAACAACTCATCACTTTTCAATCATTAATCAATCAATCGGATATTATTTTTTACAGTGCAACGCAGATTTAAGATAAAAATACGAGCACACACTTAAGATTTTCAATGAAATCAAATATCATTTATGATGATGACGATTGTAATGGAATAGTACATTGTAAGATGTAAGAATGCGATATTTTTGATCACTTTTTTAATCAAAAAAAGTAGCGGTTATTAACGGAAAACATTATTCCACAAAATGATGATGATTATTTCATCAGAATTCTATTATCCGAATCAAATGGAGCCAACCAAGAAGAAAAAGAAAAGAAAAATCTTTTTCCACTCTTTTTTCCAATGAATTCTGTTCGTAATGATAAACCACTGAGAATATTTCTCTTCCCCTCTCCCTCTCATTATTCACTCTCTTTAAATAATTGTAACGATTAACAAACAAACGAAAAAAATTAAAATTAATCGAAATACCAAAATCCATAGATTGATTATTGAAAGCAAACATTGTTGCAAAATTGGATTGCATTGATTTTTTTTTCTTATCATCATCTATAGACCATCAACCAGATCCAGATCCAAAGAATCGATTTTGAATGAAAAAAGGGGGCGAAAGAATTTTTCACGATTTTTTCCCCACTAAATAAATGAATGATTATTCAAAAAATGGAAAATTTTCTTTTTCGAAAATAACAACCCTTTATTCTCAAACGAAAGAATATTTTCATCTGTCATTTTGTCAAAAAAAACGAAAAACGATAAAATTTAGCCCAGAAAAATAACCGCTTCTGCTTTTCTCTCTAGTCGTCATAGTCGGTTAACGAATCAACTTTTTTTGGATAAACTTTTTTGACAGCAGCATCCCCTCTATAAGAAAACGGAACCAAGAAAAAAAAATTCGGTAATCATAATCATCATCATCGATGATGATCATCATGATAATCAAATAAGTCAGCAAAAAAAAAAAAAGAAAAATTTAAATAAACGATGTTCCGATTGGAAACATCAAATGTCAAGAGAGGATCATCATCATCAAGCCTTTTTCTGGAACGTATCACACAGACAATTTTGATGCAAATTTCTCAGTTTTTTTTTCACTTTCAATTGTCGCATCAATTTAAAAAATCACCCAGCATCATCATCGTCATCTGACAATTTTATGATGATGATGATTTTCCATTTTTTCCGTCGGTTGAGAAGTAAGAAAAATGAGTGAATGAATGAATGAAATGCACTCAATAACAATAATAAAAATTGTCGTTTCAAATGAGTGGGTGTTGATTGTTAACATTATCATCATCATCATCACCATTGTCAATTTTTTTGTGATAACATCTTATTTTCTTTCCCTTGTTTAAGCATCTTAGCAGCAATAATAATAATAATGATTATCATTTCTCAACAGACATGTCGTTATAATGATAATTAGAAATTAACAGCTTTTTTTCCCCATTTTTTCCTTTTTCCCCCTCCTTAATTTCCAATTTTAAATCGGTAAAAAAATGATGTGTGAGTGCGTTTTAGACAAAGATATTTTTTCAGTGCGTTACATTGTTACATCTCGTTGTAATAAAACTAGAAAAAATTTATAATTTTTGTTGTTGGTTTCCAAAATTTGATTTGGATCATCATCAAATTTCAGCTAAAATCCATTTCAATTCATCATAGTTTTCTCTTTCAGTGTGCGTGTCTCTAGTGCTGTCAATTTTTAAAAAGTTTTCATTTCATTTGGCATCAATTTGTTTTTTGTTTTACAAATTTATTAAATTAAAAAAAATTCACAAAATTCACAGGAAAAAAAAGGTCGTTTGAAAATTTAAAAACATCATTTTGATAATGATGATGAATACATTCGATTCATATTGTGGATCCGAATCAATTTGGGTAAGAATTTTTTTTTCGTTTCTTTTTTTAAAATTCGATCATTTTTTGTTGTTGTTGTTGTTGTGGTTCTTGTGATTTTAATAGTGGTTCTTGTGATTTTTGTTGTGGTTCTTGCGATTTTAGTTGTGGTCCATGTGATTTTTGTTGTTGATCTTGTTGTTGTTGTTGTTGTTTTTTCTTATGTTTTTGTCGTTGTTGTTTTCTTTGTTGTTGTTGTTGTTGTTGCAATTGTTGTTGTCGTTGTATCTTGTTGTTGTTGTTGTTGTTATTATTATCATTAGCGATAAGAGCATTCATATCTTGATTAAATTTAAAATTATTTTCATTAAACATAAAGGATAAAAAACCAACACAAAATAATAAACACATTATAAATGTAATAATAATTGTAAGTGTTACATAAAGCCATACTTTACAAATCATTGAACAAATTGTACATGGTAAAAAACATGTTATAAAACATATAAAACAACTTATAATACAGATCAACAAACACATTGGAAATTCCATTATTCTCAATTATAATCTGAATACGTTGAGTAAGCAATTAAATTATTTCTAAATATCAAATTTCATTGCTATCATCATCATAAAATTATTAAATGTTTGAAATTATATATCCAAATGAAACAAAAAAATGGTCAGAAATTAGAATTTCAATGAAAAACAAAACAAAACAATAAATAGCAAAACGAAAGTAAAAGCTTATTTCGATTGTTGTTGCTTTACTTTGTTGTCCAAAATGAATTTAATTAAATCATTTATATGATTTTGCTCGTATTTGGATTTTGTTCGTTTTATTCGAATTGAATATGAATCTTTTAATGTTTCAAACAAGTCCAAAAACTACTTTACTTTTATCATTAATTCGATGAATTCTTGATTCGTTTATTTATTGATTAATCGGAAATGTTATTTTATTTTTTCTCTTAAAATTACCCGTACCAAAAAATAACGGATATTATTAAACGGATTTGTAAAACGAAAATATAAGGATGATCAAATAACATGGACAACCGAAGAACCAAGATTAACATTATGTTTTCGAAAAACAATCTTGGTTTGGTTACCAGCTATTTATCTGATAATTTTATCACCAATAATAATTTTTTCATTAATTTATAAATCAAAATCATCATCATCGACAATAAGATTTAAATGGAATAATTATAATAGTTTACGTATGGCAATTATCGTTGCCTTGATATTAGAATTAATCATTGATCTTGTATTGACCGTTTATGATTATAATCATAATAATCATAATGATAATATAATTGAAAATCAAAAATATAAGGCTGATATTGTCAATGCTATTATACGATTATTATGTTCGGTATGTTACTCTTTTTTTTGTGAAATTTTTCCCAAGAAAACCTTTCTCACTCTCAACTCTTTTGATAACAGATAATTTTAATGATAATTTTTTGGTTAATGAAAAAATATTCTCAACATACATCGGCTATAATATGGTCATATTTAGCATTACAATCATTATCACTTTTATTGGAATTAATTTCACAAATAATGGATCGATATCGTTATTATCATCAAGATGAACAACAACAACAACAACAACAATCATTTTGGCATCTTGATTCACAAATGTCCAGCATGTTTATATTTTTGATAAATTTTCTATTAAATTTTTCATTATTCATACAAAGTTTTATATCGGATCCTGAAGCTGATAAAATAATGAAAATAACGATTGATGAAAAAAAGGTAAAGGTTTTCGTTTTTTTAACGAAAAAAATTGTCATTTTCAGAAAATCTCTTTCACTATAAATGATTTATTATCTCATTTTCTTTTTCGCTATTTCAATGAAAAAAAATAAACACAGTCCACCGATAACAATGATGAACAGCGAAAACCATTGGCCAAAATGACAGCATCATTTTTTTCTCGGCTAACATTCAGTTGGTATTCACCACTTACCTATTTAGGTCTGAAACGTCCAATAATATTATCCGATATATGGCGTATACGTGAACAGGATAGTTCATTTTATAATTATCAATTATTTCAACAAAAATTAAATGAATTTCGTCATGAATATGATAGAAAAAATAATGTTTTTGATAATAATAAAACAAAACCATTCAAAGTAAATATTATTAAAATAATATGGTCAACACTTAAATATTATTTTATACCCGGGTCATTGGCAAAAATCCTAAATGATTTTTTTGTTTTTGCTAATCCAATGGTTCTAAAGTAAGATTATAATCTTCTAACTTTAAAAATTATTTACACATTATAATTACCCCCCTGTTTACCAATTCTCAATAGACAATTAATTAATTTTATGGATGATCATCAACAACCAAATTGGCATGGATATTTTTTTGCATTATTATTATTTTTAGTTACATCTGGGCAAATATTTGCATTAAATTATTATTTTAATCGTATGATGATATTTGGTTTACGTATTCGTACACAATTAATTGCTGCTATTTATCGTAAATCATTAAAATTATCAAATAGTTCAAGATCAAAATTTACAACCGGACAAATTGTCAACCTGATGGCAGTGGATGCACAACGTTTTGTTGATGTTAGTAGTTTTATTAATCTATTATGGTCGGCACCATTACAGATTATTATTGCAATGATATTATTATGGCGTGAATTAGGTTTGTAATATTCAAGATGTAATCAATAATAGGTTTATTAATATATCCACTTGATTATTCATAGGTGTATCTGTTTTGGGTGGTTTTTTCTTCATGTTAGCAATGATACCAATCAATGCATATTTAACAAACATATCAAAACGTTTACAAATACGACAAATGAAATTGAAAGATGAACGTGTTAAAGCAATGAATGAAATTTTAAATGGAATGAAAATTATTAAATTATATAGTTGGGAACAGGCATTTATTGAACGAATACAGACAATACGTTCAAAAGAATTACAAATGTTAAAACGTATTAATTATTTAGGTGCACTCATACAGGCTATATGGAATTTAGCACCATTTCTTGTATCATTCATAACATTTGCCATATATGTTTGTATTGATCATCAAAATCGTTTAACAGCATCAAAAGCATTTGTTTCATTATCATTATTTAATATTTTACGTTTTCCATTAGCAATGTTACCAAATTTAGTTACATTGATTATTATGGTAAGCCATTTTCATTTTGTCAATCTCTTTTCTCAAGCTTTTTTTCACTCTTATTTCATCCCAATAATAATATAGACCAGTGTTTCAATGAAAAGATTAAACAATTTTCTTAGTTCAACTGAATTGACAAATTATATTCAACGAAATGAATCAAAAAACAATCCTGGTGATGATGATGACCATTGTATAATTCTTGATAATTGTTCTTTTAGTTGGTATAATCAAGATGAACAAAATAACAATAACAACAACAACAACAACAACAAAAAACAACAAAAACATTCTAGCGAAAAAAATGACCATCAACATGATGATGATGATGATAAACAAAATCATTCAAAACCATTCTTACAAAAAATCCAAATGAAAATTAAAACAAAATCATTCGTTGCTATTGTTGGTGCTGTTGGTTCGGGTAAATCATCATTATTGCAAGCAATATTAGGAAATATGGAATTGACTAATGGAACAATCAATATGTACGGTGAAAAAAAATCTTTCATTACAAACACACACAAACACTTACATAGAGAGTTACATTCGACAGACGAAATCTTATATAATTCTTTAAACAAACAAAACAAAACAAAACAAAGATTTCATCAATAAGGGCAAATTCATGATTAATGTTTAATGTTTTTTTTCTTTTCTTTTCTTTTTTTCTTCCCCCTATTTATATTATTCTTGCAAACTGAATTCACTTATTGGGGGTGTCAATCGAATGATGATGATGATTGGCTATCGTCATTGGGGCAAATAATAATAATGATATTTAGTTCAAAATCTAAACGTATAGCATATACACCACAGGAACCATGGATCCAGAATAATACTGTACGTGATAATATATTATTTAATCAACCATTTAATGAAAGAATGTATTGGAAAGTTATTGATTCTTGTTCATTAAAACCTGATTTACAAGTATTAACTGATGGTGATCAAACGGAAATTGGTGAAAAAGGAATTAATCTTAGTGGAGGTAACATAATAATAGTGTTTTGTGAAGAATTTTTCAAAATGAATGGAATATTAATGAATTTTTTTTCAATGCAAAAAAAAGGACAAAAACAACGTGTTAGTTTAGCACGTGCTTGTTATAATGATGCTGATATTTATTTAATGGATGATACATTATCTGCTGGTATGATTTTTGGATTTTGTTTTGTTTTTCTTTATTTATTTTATTGACATTTTTCTTCGTTCATCATATAGTTGATTCACATGTTGGTAAACATATCTATGAACATATTATATCATCAACAACAGGTTTATTAAGAAATAAAACCCGAATATTGGTTACAAATAATTTATGGCTTTTGCCTGAAACTGATTATATTTATGTATTACGTGATGGTCAAATAATTGAATCCGGTTCCTATCCGGAATTAATGAAACAGAATAATTATTTTTCCAATCTTATACAACAATTTAGTAATAATAATCCTGAAGATGATGATGATGATGATAATCCCGAAGATAATGATAACAATGATGATAAAACCAAATTAAACAAACCAAAACCAAGATTTCATTCATTGAATGATCAATCAGCAATTGGTGTTGATAATAATGTTGGAAAAAAATTAACAACAAGTAAATTGATTGAAAAAGAAATGGCACAAATTGGACAGGTTAAATTTCATGTTTATGGTCGTTATTTAAAAGCAATTTCAATTACATGGGTTATAATTATTTTAATTAATTATGGCGTTGCACAATTATCCAATGCCAGTTCTGGTGTTTGGTTATCAATTTGGTCAGCACAATCAGAAAATTATGATCAAGGTGAAAATATGGAACATTCAGATACAATCTATTATCTAGCTATTTATGGTTTGTGTTTAGAGAGATCATACATAAGATTAACAATAATTTTTCAATGTATTTCTTCACTGATTCTCATAAAAAGGTGCAATCGGTCTTTGTCAAGGTATATTCTATGGACTTGGTTGGATATCAATGACAAACGGAATAATCAAAGCAGCCAGTTCATTACATAATCAAATGTTACAAACAATATTTCGTTCAATGATGTCATTTTTTGATGTAACACCTTTAGGGCGAATATTAAATCGTTTTAGTAAAGATATTGATGTTTGTGATACATCTATACAGATGAATTTTCGGTAAAAAAAAGTTTTTTATTATTTTTTTTCCACAGAATATTCTGCTGTTGTTGTCACTGTTGTTCAACCCAAACAACAATAGACAGAATCTGAACAATAGAATATTAATAACAAAAACGACAACGACAACGTCTAATGATGATTTTCTTATTTATTTTTTCTTTCTCCCCTTTTTGTAAAACCGAAAATAAATAACCCGAAAAAAAACCCGAAAAAAACACCATTACCAAAATATCGAATCCAAACCAAACCAAACTAAACAAACTTGGTAAAATAGGGTATTCATAACCTGTCTATTTTCAACATTGGCTACATTGATCATTATTTCTATGAGTAAGTTTTTGTTGCTGTTTCGTTCGGTTTGTTTCGCTTTTATTTCCCAATTTTTACCCCATCATCATCATGGAGAAAATATCGATGGCAAACAAGCAAAAAAAAAAAAAAAAAAAAAAAAAAAAAAAAAAAACCGCCGAAAAAAAAAAAAACCCCCGGGGGGAACCCAGGGCACATTCCATTAA